TCAATGCATGTGTAACAACTTCCTTTCTTTTTGAATTTCACGCCCCACCCTCAGCCACCCTGAGGAACATCAGAGGTTGGGGTACAAAACTTAAAATCCAGGGTTGAAAAACATCACAAACCAAAGGGTCGAGGTTGATGCGATTGGCATTTCAACTTTGGCTCCAGATTCCTTGCCTCTGAAGGAAAAAAAGTGAGACGCTGCAGCAGCTGGGGTAGCACGATACCCCGCTGGCGAGATTATGATCGTGATTATGATAAAGATTACAAAGATGACGATGATGGGGATGGCGGTGGTGATGACGAAAAGGGGAAGGATGATGATGATGATGATGATGATCATGATCATGATCATGATCATGATGACGAAGTTGAAAATATATCATTCCATTTCTCCCGCAGTTTTTTTTTTCCGAGCCGTGGATCGGCAAAGAACCCAAGAGCACAAAAAACAACATATCACACCACCCAAGTGATCAATGAATCATGAAACATGTTGCTGCAAAGATTAAAAAAAACAGCAAAAAAATGCACCTTCAGCAAAACATTTCAACAATGCAACTGAAGCGGCCCGGCTCTTAAATCCCACTACGTTTTGAGTGGAACAGAGGGTTCCATTGAGATCGTAAACGAAAAGTATAATGCGATCGGAAACCCTTCCGAAACATCGTGCACATGAAGCACCGGCACAACATCCATACAGAAAACTTTGTGCATCAGCTCGGATCAAAAAGGTTCCCATCTATAGAACATATTCAGTTGCCCAGAGCTTCAGAAACCAGCCGGAAACAATGCAAGGGTCAAAAATCGCCACATCATACTTTCTCCCAAAAGCTCCTGCGAAGGGTTCTTTCCAAAAGAACGTTGCTACAAACAACCGGTTTATTTTTGTTTACTGAGAAAATTGCGGCTTTGGATGTTGACAGACAATGATCCTGTTTGAACACGTTATTTTCACATGTCATGACACCGTTTTTGGGGCCATGGCATGACTTCAAGGTGAAATGAACGGGACATTAAACGTATCCAACCAGATATGGGGACCACCGACCTAACAAAAAAATCGACATGGCACACGGCATTCCCCAGCATTTGCTAACAAGGCACGCGAATGATAAAAATTGGGTTTGCATTTGTTCCCATGTAGACATGTAATTGTACATTTTCCCAAAACGGTTGCTGATAAATGACCCGCAATTTTTGGGGGTTTTGGATGCCTTTTTTTTTTTAATCGTTTGGCCGCTCGATCATTCCATTGATTTACTTTCAAAAAACACAGCTTAAATATACTTAAATTGAGTTGGTTTGGAAATCCACTGTGTGATATGTTTTTTTAATTTTAGAAACCATTAGAGTCGCTAGCGCTTGGTTAATTTTGCCGGCACATTTCCGTTGACGACTCGTTCCACCCAGAGGCCACATGTTGGTTAGAACACAACTGTGCTTCCGCGGCGTGCTTTGCATTTTGATGATCTTTTGGTGCACATGTCGCAATTACTCTGGTTGCGCGCTTTCGAACAGAAAATCCTTCCATGATTTGCCTTGTTTTCTCAGTATCCCGACGGTCAGTTGTGATGCTTTCCCTTGAAAAAAACTCAACAAAACTGACATATTTTTCAAATGTTTCCAGATCTAGACTTCGTTTCCTCCAAGATCAACATCTTAATTCAGAATGCCATTATATTACTGTATAATGATGTTGCTGTTCGACATCAATGACGTTGATCTTGCACCCGCCAAACACCAAATTAGTCACCACATTGCCATCATTTTGCAAATCGACCCGTGCTCTTCGCACTTATTCGCACATTTGCAGTTGCTGGTTTGCTGGTACTTGGTTTTTGTCAAGGATTCGTATTGATATCGCCAAATACACCTACCATATGTTTATGTGGTGTTTTTTTCCCAAAAACCTTAGATGTTGTAAGGTGGTCATACTTGACTCATTTCTCTTTGGCATGCTGCACGCAATAGGTTGTTTGTTGGCAAAACAAATATATAGGTCACGTGTGACACTTTCTTATTTGTGCAGTGAAGTGCATGTGAGCATCTTCAAACGAACGCATTTCCTTCTCAAGTGGTGGGAGGGCGGGACTCCCTTCGTTGTGTTTCTTCGATTTGTGCCATGGGACTTAGAGCTGTTGCAGATTTGGAAGATTACACTATTGCAGAGCTGGTTGAACTGATTGACAAAGCATCCACTGTTTTGCGTCAGAAGGTTGCTGATTCAGGTGCATCCAGCTCAGCTTCAGTTGCTAGTTTCAGCGTTGTTGAAGAGGAGCCCACAGAGTCCTCTACTGCAGCGGCCTCTAAGGACCCACCTGGTGATTTGAAATCTCCTTTTGAATGTGAATATCATTGCAAATTTTGTTTGAATCGTTGCTGCCGACCCATCTATGCACACAAGAACCATGCCTGTCTTGAGCACCGCCACAGAAGGTAACAAGGTGGACGACGTGAGCTCAGAGGCTGGTGAGTCTGGCTTGAAAGGCTACAGGAAGAGGTGGACAGAGCGTAGCGCTCCAGGGCAGCGCAATGAGAAGAGTCTTTCTGAATGTGGCAGTGATTTCAATGCAGACATTGACAGTTTGACACCTTTGGCGAAACAACAGAAACTGCATGAGTTTGACAGGGCGGTTGAAATCATTGACAAAACTTCGGATGATTTGGATGATGACAAACCTTTTGCAAGCAGCACTTCAACAGCTGTGAACCATCGTCAAGAGAGGCAGGCCTTGCAGAACACGGACATGAAGGTTTTCAGATTTCCATGGGAGCGTGGTAGACTTGCTAAGATTTTTGGTGATAAACCTTTGGTTTCTGTGAAAACGCCCCAGCTGAAGATGGGGCCAAACAACTGCTTGCGTATGGGTTTGAGTGTATCTGAGTCTGGAAGCTTAGAAGCAAAACCTGTGTTTAAGCGAGACGATGCGGTTTCATCGCATGCAATTTTTCTGGATGTTGTCAAGGCCATTGTTGACAAGTCTGAATTGGAAGACCGTGATGCAAAGCGTCAGAAAGCTTTGGAAGCTTGGTGGAAGCTCCTTTCACATAGCTTGGTGTCAAATTCCATTGGGCTTAAAGTCACTGTGGAGTCAACTGCAGATACAATCCACAGCTGTGCACTGGAAATTTTGGATGCCACCTTCGCTGTCAAAAGCGCAGGTACACTCTTCCGACGCTTGTATGCCATTCAAGCATTTGAAGATTGGAGTGTTGAGCATCGAAATAAGCACTGGCTACCTGTCAGCGAGTATGACGTATGGACCTACGTGAAGTGGTTGCAGAAGACAGACGCACCGGCTACCAAGGCAGGGAGCTTGGTTGAGGCGTTGAGATTCTCCTGGTATTTACTTGGAGTTGAAGGAGCAAATCTCGCTGAATCCAGTCTTAGAATCAAAGGAGTTTCCTCTCAGATGCGCTCGCATAAGAAGCCGTGGCGACCGGCTGATTTGCTGACTGTGACTGAAGTCAAAGCCTTGCACGAGATCCTCTATGATCAAGGCCGACCTCTTGGAGACCGAGTTTTGGCAGGCCACGCACTCCACCTGCTTTACAGCAGGAGCAGATGGAGTGATCTGCTCTTGGTGAGCGGTATGTATATGGATCCGGAAGAGCACTTTTTGGAGGTGGCCACAAAAGCTCACAAGGGTGCAAGGTCGGCTGAAATGAAGACAAAGCTTCTTCCAATTGTCGCTCCGGCTTTTGGAGTAGACAACAAAAACTGGGCCGTGGTTTATCTGGAAGTTCGCAGGGAATGCAACTTGTCTCTGCCTCTGGATGGATATGGGCCTATGATGTGTGCTCCCAGCAATTCAACTGCAACATCCTGGTCAAAGAGAGCGCTTACCTCTGAAGAAGGTTCAGATTTTCTGCGCAGAGCATTGAGGGCTCCCAAAACGGCAGAGAGAAGGATCTCCACGCACTCATTGAAATCAACTGTGATGTCTTGGGCATCGAAGTATGGGCTCTCAGAATATACACGTGCAGTTTTGGCACGGCACACCTCAAAGGCTGCGACTGCAACAGCAGTTTACTCTCGGGATCTTTTATCCCCAATCCTCAGGGAACTCAATTTGGTGCTGGCCGCAATTCGAAATGGAAGTTTCAGTCCTGACATGACCCGATCGGGTATGCTCACCCCAGGAGCACTGCCTTGCCTTGGAGGCACGCCGTTGCCTGAAGCTGGTTTGCCTATTGCAACTACACCAGTTCCTGCAGGTGACAAACGACTGCCTGAAGAGCCGCATGGAGCAGCTAGCAGTCCTGGCAGTGACTGGTCCTTTGCTCAGCGCAATGCTGAGGACATGCGAGTGTTTGGTGGTGCTTCTGGGTATTCGCCTTCTGAAGGTGCACAGTCTGTATTGGAGGATGCATTGACTGACACCACTGAGGAGAACAGTCAGCAGAGCACCTCTTCAAGTGAATGTGAAGACGATGAGCAAGAGCAGCACAGAGACCTGCTGAACAGAGAGTCGGACTATGTCATCAACCAACACTCTCTTGTGGTTCATCTGGTCCGGGCACAGGGCATTTTGCAATGTGGCCGAAAGCTCACTCCGTCTTATGTTAAAGTGTATGAACTCAGCGGCATCCGATGTTCGAGGTGCTTTGATGTGTAGGCGACTTGAGCTTGCGCTTGTGGAAAAAAAAATAGCCGCGTGTGAGTTCGCAAGCTTGAAACTTGAATTTGGTATTGTTAACAGATCACAAGCTTGACAGTTTGTGCAGTTTGAACAAATCGTGCTGTTGACACAGCATTGATGAAGCTGCTTGATAGCAGCAGATGTGCTGAGACACATCCCGTGGGACTGAAGTCCAATACATGTTGAGACATGTATGTGTTGCAGTTTCAAACGCTCAAGGCGTTAAAAAAAAAACTTTGTAATTTAAGTTTGATAACTTCAAATGTCTTTCTTGCAGTTTCAGTTTTGACATGCAATGGAATGTCATGTGATACAAGACATAACGAATCTGTAGTAGCCCTGCGACTTTGGTGACATGGCTTCACTGTCAGATAGCAAAGCGCACTTCCTTGCCAGAGCAAAAGAGTATGAGGTGCCAGATGATTTGATCAACAACATGCGATTGGCTGGCGTGTCAACACTTGGACATTTAGCTTTTGCTTTCCTGAGGCCAGGTCAGGATTTCGAAGAACGTCAGTTCAATGAATGGGCTACTGCTGTCAATTTAGGCAATGCACCATCCATGGGAGCACTTGCATCCTTGCGTCGTTTGCATTTTGAAGCAGAGATTGTTTTGACTGCAACCTTGAAGGCATCGGTAGAACAGCCACAGGACTTAAGCACGCCGAGACCCATGCCTCATGCAGAAAGGTCAGCGAGACTTGAGCAAATCAAAAGGCAATTCCCAGGACTTTCAATGGATGGCATGCACGAACCCTCTCAAGCTTTGTTGGATGAATGTACTCACCAATATGATGCAAGAGCCATACGTTACATTGAACCTGCAAAGTGCAATTCACGTGAGATGGAAGTTGCCATGGGTAAGTCAGATCGAAAGCTTCGCATTGAGTCCAACTCCTTGACTGTAAAAGAAACGAAAAGCACTCCTGAGGAAGATGTTTCGACTGCATACAAACTTCAGATGTGCCTGAAACGTAGAGCGATTGCATATGAATTCTCTGGCTTGCTGTCTTTTGAGGTGCATGAAAAATACATTGACAAGCTGATGCGTCGCCTCAACACTGAGCCGCCACCTCATTATTTAGCAACTTCTTTGAGCCAGATCCTCAAAGCTGACAGGGAGGTTTGGATTTACATGGCACAGCATGTTTCAGATGTGAGACCGGGAGCAGATGGAAGCCGTCCTTTAGATGCAGCATTACATGAAGCCTTAGCTGACTATAATGTGACCTTTCACCTTTTGCCTTTGCCTGCACCTTCCAATAGTAGCTATGCACCAGTGCGAAACAAAGATGATGTTCCGAGAGAGTCCAACTACAAAGGTTTTCAGCAGGGACGAAAAGGCAAGGGGAAGAACAAAGGACAAGGGCAGGGGTCAAGTGTCGCTCCACGTGGCGTGAAAGGTGCAGTGGGTCGAGATGCAAAAGGGCGTGCAATATGCTTCAACTATAACCTTTCAGAATGTCAAGATGCTCCGGCAGGAGGTACCTGTAAGAGAGGAAGGCATGTGTGCTTTAAAGCTAACTGTTTTAAGCCACATCCGTTTGCCACTGCACATGCCGAAGAACTTCCGAAGCCTAACTGACTCTCAGGTGTGGATTTGAGCAGTTTCACAGCAGATGATATTATCATCATCGAAATCTTTTGTGGCACGGCAGGGGTAACTGCGAGCTTTAAAAGACATGGTTTCTCCAATGCAATTGCGGTTGACAAGATGAAACAAGCTGGCATGTTGGCAGGAGTTATTTCATTGGATTTGACTTCACTGGCAGATCAACTTTTAATTTTGCAATGGCTTGAGCATCCGTGTGTGCATGCGGTATTCTTAGCTCCACCATGCGGAACGGCAAGTGCTGCTAGGTTTATCGAATTACCCAATGAAAAGGCACCTAGGCCTTTGAGGACTCCTGAGGAGCCAGATGGAGTTGCGGACCTTGAAGGGGTCGAACTTGAACGTGTCAGTGCGGCAAACATTTTGTATGCCTTTACTGTGGAGGTTTTGGAAAAATGCTGTCAATTGAGGATTCTTTGTATGATCGAAAACCCCAGGAATAGCCTATTCTGGTTTGTCACCGTTTGGATTGAATGCAGTGTTTTGGACGAGCTGTTTTACCAAGATCACCAAGCATGTATGTACGGCTCAAAGCGTCCGAAATACACTCGTTTATGTGCCAATTTTGAACAAGTGCATACAATTTCTGCTTTATGTGATGGAACACACGAGCATGAACCTTGGGGCGTCATTAGGCAGGGCAACAAAAGGACTTTTGCCACATCACTTGAAGTCCATTACCCGCGTGCTCTTTGTGACGCTATTGTCCAAGCCTTTTTGTTGAAATTTGCTGGGTTGAAGTTGCAAGTGAATTCTACCAAGCCTGCGTTGCACCATGCGGCAAAAGCATTGACCGGAAGCCAATCCATATCCATGAAGCTTCCCCCACTGGTGCCAGCGTTCAAGCACCGATATGTTGTTTTCTTTCTCCGAAAGCAGCCTGTATGGCCCACCACTTTGGCCATACCCTTAGACCATAAATGCCTCCACGAAGTAAATCTTGGGGGTGAGATAAGCGTGGAGGAGAGACAGTATCGGAAAAAGAGGATTCTGGAAGAGTTGGACATATGGAAAGTTGACTTTGCGTGGGAAAGTTTTTCAACCGTTGAATGCGTTTTTGATTGTTTCAAAATTTTTGGTGTGCAATGGGAGCCAACTGAGTTTGTTGCTGAAGCCTTGCGTGTTACCCACCCGATGGATGGAGTCAAAGCTCTTCCCGATGAATTGAGGTTTGCTGTTGGACAGATTGCAAATCTGTCTCCTGCGGAGATTGCGCGCAAAAGAACTGATTTTTTCATTTACTGGCATCAAAGGGCCAAAGAGTTGAAACCGAAAGAAGATGAAATCCGTGCCTCCATGGACCCTGTAGTCAGTCATGCTGTTGAACGAAAAAGGCTTGCCTTGTTTGCAGAGATGTTGGAATTTTACCGGTACCCTGACAAAGAGGTTATTGACGAATTGGTAAAAGGAGCTTCCTTAGTGGGTGAAGTTGCCATCACCAACATGCTGCCGGTTAAGTTTACTCCAGCCCTTTTAACAGAGAGCTCCTTGAGGAAGCAGTCAGCCATGCGAAGACCACAAGTGGAAAGAGATTGCAAAAGCTCAGGTGATCCAGAAGTTGATCTAGAAGTCTGGCAACAGACCATGCAAGAATGTGAGAAAGGTTGGTTGGCTGGTCCTTTTTCTGCAAGCGAAGTCCCATTGGACGCTCCTATGTCCAAACGTTTTGGCCTCAAGCAGAAGCATAAAGTAAGATTGATCGATGATTTTTCCGAGTCTTCTGTGAATCAGACCGTGACTGTGCATGAGTCACCTACTTTGCACACGGTTGATGTTGCAGCTGCTTCTCTTGCCTATTGGTTTCAATGTAAAGGAACTTCAAAGGGTGCCACTTCCCTTCATGTCCGGACTTTTGATTTATCCAGTGCCTATAGGCAAATTGCCCTTTGTGCAGAAGGTCGCAAGTATGCATACATCCGTGTGTTTAATCCCAACACCAAACAGTGGTCATACTTTCAAGCGCTTGTTTTGCCGTTTGGAGCAGTAAAGAGTGTGCATTCGTTCCTCAGGCTTGCAAGGTCCATTTGGTGGCTTGGATCAGTAGCCTGTTTGCTTATGTGGACCTCTTTCTATGATGATTACATCGTCTTTAGTCCTCCAGAACTGGTGAGAAGTTCAGAAATGACGGCATCTGCACTTTTCGAATTGCTTGGATGGGATTTCGCAAAGGAAGGGAGAAAATGCGTTCCATTTGGGACGTCTTGTGAGGCGCTGGGCGTTGTTTTCAACTTGGAGAACACTTCAGATGGCCTGGCATACATCACCAACACGGCCTCCAGGGTTGAAGAAATTGTTGCTGAAATTCTTAAAGTGACTGCAGAAGGAGGGATTACCCTTACAGCTGCGCAAAAACTTCGCGGTCGCATGCAGTTTGCGGAGGCACAGTTGTACGGACGTACGGGAAAGAGATGTTTGCGTGCTTTGAAGGATGCTTGCTGCCGTAAGAGAACCAAGTTTCAAAACCACGAGATTCACTCCCTCAAGCTGTTCTCTAAAATGCTGGAGTTGGGCAGACCTCGAGTCATTTCTTGGGATAAAAGAAATTCAGTGGTGATTTTCACCGATGCTTGCTACGAGAGAGATGCCAAAGATCTTGTATGTGGACTTGGTGCAGTACTTTATGATGAGTTTACTGGAAATCACAGGTTTTTCTCTTGTGCTCTTGACGAAGAACAACGTGCGATGCTGGGAGAACGTAGCAAGAAGCAGATTATCTTCGAAGCGGAAACCTTTTGTGCAGTTCTGGCATATCTGGTATGGTCTGACCACTTGAATCTTAGGAACAGTTTTCTGTACGTCGACAATGAAGGTACCAAGTTTTGCTTGATGAAAGGTGCTTCTGAGAACGAAATGGTTGATGCAATATGTGCTGTTTTTGCTGAACTCGAAATGTGGATGCAAGCAAATTGCTGGCTTGCGCGAGTAGCTTCTTTTTCAAATGTTGCCGACAAACCTTCTAGAGGAGATACAAAAGAATTACTTGACAGCGGCTTTTCAGACGACTCCACCACGGCTCTTCAAAAGCTTGTGCAACTGATGACATTCATGAAGGAAAAACTGGGGAGACGAGCTGAATGCATCGTTGCAACCCCCAGTTGAAAAACAGTGTGAGCGCCAGCTTTGCCTTCAGCCGTGAGTGTCGAGCATAAATAAATATAGGTCACGTGTGACACTTTCTTATTTGTGCAGTGAAGTGCATGTGAGCATCTTCAAACGAACGCATTTCCTTCTCAAGTGGTGGGAGGGCGGGACTCCCTTCGTTGTGTTTCTTCGATTTGCCCACCACCGTCCCCTACTGCCACCATCACTTGATAAGGGATAGCCATTCCCTCAGCCAGACGAGCTGAATGCATCGTTGCAACCCCCAGTTGAAAAACAGTGTGAGCGCCAGCTTTGCCTTCAGCCGTGAGTGTCGAGCATAAATAAGATCAACAATTTCTTTTGTCTCCAAATTTTGAATGTGTTTTGAATCGTTTGTTTCAGATTTTTATTGAAAATATGTTAGTTATGTATTGGTTTGAATGCCTGAAGAGGCATGTTTTTTTGGGAATGAACGTCAAACAACAGTTGATTTTGAACTTTTGTTTTGGCGCACATCATATTTTTTTGAAATATATTGAACACAATTACTAGAAACAACTCAACAACATGTTTTTCTGCGTTTTTTTGCGAATTCAGTGGTTATTTATTTTTTGTTTCCCCGTTTGTGAAACATATGCAAATGCATCATTTGTAAGAATATACAAGTGGCACAGCCGTTTCCGGCTCATCGCCCTTTGGGCACAACTTTGAACGAAAGCTCTGCTTGGTTGGGAACTGAGTGGGAAGGGTTTTTGATCAAAATCATAGTTGTATAATCTATGTACTTATGTATCTATGTCTATGTATCTATGTATCTATGTATCTATGTATCTATGTATCTATGTAATGTTATGTAATGTTATGTAATGTTATGTAATGTTATGTAATGTTATGTAATGTTATGTAATGTTATGTAATGTTGTAATGTAATGTAATGTAATGTTATGTAATGTTATGTAATGTTATGTAATGTTATAATGTTATGTAATGTTATGTAATGTTATGTAATGTTATGTAATGTTATGTAATGTTACCTAATGTTATGTAATGTTATGTAATGTTATGTAATGTTATGTAATGTTATGTAATGTTATGTAATATTATGTAATGTTATGTAATGTTATGTAATGTTATGTAATGTTATGTAATGTTATGTAATGTTATGTAATGTTATGTAATGTTATGTAATGTTATGTAATGTTATGCAATGTTATGTAATGTTATGTAATGTTATGTAATGTTATGTAATGTTATGTAATGTTGTGTAATGTTGTGTAATAATGTTATGTAATAATGTTATGTAATAATGTTATGTAATAATGTTATGTAATAATGTTATGTAATGATGTTATGTAATGATGTTATGTAATGATGTTATGTAATAATGTTATGTAATAATGTTATGTAATAATGTTATGTAATAATGTTATGTAATAATGTTATGTAATAATGTTATGTAATAATGTTATGTAATAATGTTATGTAATAATGTTATATAATGTAATGTAATGTAATGTTATGTAATGTTATATAATGTAATGTAATGTAATGTTATGTAATGTTATGTAATGTTATGTAATGTAATGTAATGTAATGTGATGTAATGTGATGTAATGTGATGTAATGTGATGTAATGTTATGTAATGTTATGTAATGTTATGTAATGTTATGTAATGTTATGTAATGTTATGTAATGTTATGTAATGTTATGTAATGTTATGTAATGTTATGTTATGTAATGTTATGTAATGTTATGTAATGTTATGTAATGTTATGTAATGTTATGTAATGTTATGTAATGTTATGTAATGTTATGTAATGTTATGTAATGTTATATAATGTAATGTAATGTAATGTAAGGTATGGTATGGTATTGTATGTAATGTATGTAATATACATAATGTATAGAATGTATATAATGTATGTATGCTTGTTATGTTATGTTATGTTATGGTAAGGTATGGTATTGTATGTAATGTATGGTATGGTATGGTAGGGTAGGGTATGGTATGGTATAGTATGTATATGTATATGTATATGTATATGTATATGTATATGATTATGATTATGATTATGATTATGATTATGTGTATATATATATATATGTATATGTATATGTATATGTATACGTATATGTATATGTATATGTATATGTGTATGCATGTATGTATGTAATGTAATGTAATGTAGTGTAATGTAATGTAATGTAATTATGTAATGTAATGTTATGTAATTATGTAATGTAATGTAAGTAAGTAAGTATGTAAGTATGTACGTATGTAAGTATGTAAGTATGTAAGTATGTAAGTATGTAAGTATGTAAGTATGTAAGTATGTAAGTATGTAAGTATGTAAGTATGTAAGTATGTAAGTATGTATGTATGTATGTATGTATGTAATGTATGTAATGTAATGTAATGTAATGTTATGTATGTATGTATGTATGTATGTAATGTAATGTAATGTAATGTAATGTAATGTAATGTAATGTATGTATGTATGTATGTATGTATGTATGTACGTACGTACGTACGTATGTATGTATGTATGTATTTATGTATGTATGTATGTATGTCTGTGTGTGTGTGCATGCATGCATGCATGGATGTATGTATGTATGTATGTGTATATGTATATATATATGTATGTATGCATGCATATGTCTATATTATATGCATTATATGCATTTCCAATGGAGTTCTTTTGACCTGTGTCCGTTGGTATCTACTGTTGGCCAAAAACTTTTCTTGCCAGGGGTGTGGTGTATCCATTTCTTGCCCTGTCAAAGCTTCTCGGCATCCTGGTACTGAAGGCAGCTGCCTCGTTCTACCTTCGGTGAAAATGCAGCTTCGTGGCACATGTGTGGGTGCCACAAACCACAATGTTGCAATCATCGCTATTTGGGAATATAAGGTACAGGCATGTATGAATGTATGTATGTATGTACATCTATATATATATATATCTCTCTCTATTTATATAATTGTATATATATATATATTAAATGTACACAGATATGGCAAGACCCTGTGGTTTGCCCGGACTCCCAACGAGCATGATAAGGATGAGGACGAGGATGATGATGATGATGATGATGATGATGAGATGATGATGATGATGATGATGAGATGATGAGGAGGAGGAGGACGACGACAACGACGACAGTATGATTAGTTGTTCCATGGGGTGGGTGATATTATACTTGTTCCATGGGCGAGTGGGAGATGTTATACCATATGTAAACCTTGAAAAAAACGCTCGTAGCTGTACAGTTCTCTTGCTCACTTCGCCAACACACTTTCATCTCTTTCGTTTGAGGTCGATAAACTTTCATTGGTTTTTATGCTATTCTGGTCTTAGGCAAACCACGGGCTCTGTGCGCACAAATATGACAACACATAAAACAGATACAAAAGATATAGCGGATATAAGAGATGTACATATACATTAATACATTATAGAATCAGTGAATTTATATAGGTGAGGTTGGAATGCATTTGAATAGGAACCAACAATTACTTGACAGTTCTGCAGGAAAGGGTTCCAAGAAAATCCTTTAGATGTTCTTTTTTTCAGCCTTCAAATTCGAGCAAATCTGAAGTGTATGCGTTGGACCGTTTTGAGTCGGATTCGTGCTTGAGAAGTTGCAGACCCCGGCCCCACAAAAAAAATTGAACCTTGCACATGTCTGGCCAAAGAAAAAAAACATTCGGTGTAGAGGACAGAACTTCTTAGGCTAGCTATTCACCAAGGAAGTTCTGTGGGGTGATCGTATTGGCTCTGCTTGCAAAAGATGCGCTGGCCAACAAGGCGCCGTGGGGGGAGCTGCTGGGGCTGTGGAGTCTCGGTCTGTATTGGATGTTTTCAGGCAATCATTTGGTTAAGAGGACAACTTGCAGGAAACAATGGTCTTTTCATTCTTTATTGAGCAAATGATGGTTACCAATAAAACATGGTTGGGAAACGAGTAATGAGTTCATTTGGTGATCCAGCCATTGTACCAGTAGTGCCGCACAAGGCGGTGGCGGAAGTTTCAAGGATATGCCACCTACAGGAGAGGTCAGTTGTTGTGATGCATTGATGTCAGAGCGAACTGATGGACCCAAAGGTGGTTGAGGCTCTGAGTTTCTCTCTCTCTCTCTTTCTCTCTCTCTCTCTCTATCTCTCACTCTATATATATATCTCTCTCTCTCTCAACCTATATATCTCTCAACCAGAATCTATTTCTCTGACTATCTATCTTTCTGTCTATCGAAGTGTCTATGAATCTATCTATTACCTATCTATTATCTATCCATTTGACTATCTTTATATCTGTCTATCTACCTATCTATCTGTCTATCTGTTTATCTATCCATCCATCTATCTCCATCTATCTATCTGTCTGTCTGTCTGCCTATCTATCTATCTATCTATCCATCCATCTATCTAATCAATCTATCTATCTGTCTATCTGTTAATCTATCCCTATCTGTCTGTCTGTCTGTCTGTCTATCTATCTATCTTTCTATCTATCTATCTACCTATCTATCTATCTATCTACCTATCTATCTATCCATCTATCTATCTATCTATCTATCTCTCTGTCTATCTATCGATCTATCCATCTATCTGTCTGTCTGTCTTTCTTATCTATCTATCTATCTATCTATCTATCTGTCTATATGCTAATCTATCCCTATCTGTCTCTCTATCTATCTATCTATCTAAGAAGTTGCTGCAAACCGTTCGTTCGGCGACCGGGATTGACATGAGCTGAATGCCATGGGCCGCATTCCAGCAATATCATGCAGCGCCTTCACTCTCCATGGCACAATTGTCGCGGTCTATCTATCTATCTATCCATCCATTCTATCCATTCTATCCATTCTATCCATTCTATCCATTCTATCCATTCTAACCATTCTATCCATTCTATCCATTCTATCCATTCTATCCATTCTATCCATTCTATCCGTTCTATCCTATCTATCCTATCTATCCTATCTATCCTATCTATCCTATCTATGCTACCTATCCTATCTATCCTATCTGTCCTATCTGTCCTATCTATCCTATCTATCCTATCTATCCTATCTATCCTATCTATCCTATCCTATCTTTCCTATCCTATCTATCCTATCCTATCTATCCTTTCCTATCTATCCTATCCTATCTATCTATCCTACCTATCCTATCCTATCTATCCTATCCTATCTGTCCTATCTCTCTATCCTATCTCTCTATCCTATCTATCTTTCCTTTCTATCTTTCCTATCTATCTTTCCTATCTATCCATCCTATCTATCTGTCCTATCTATCTGTCCTATCTATCTGTCCTATCTATCTGTCCTATCTATCTGTCCTATCTATCTGTCCTATCTATCTGTCCTATCTATCTGTCCTATCTATCTGTCCTATCTATCTTATCTATCCTATCTATCTTATCTATCCTATCTATCCTATCTATCCTATCTATCCTATCTATCCTATCTATCCTATCTATCCTATCTAGCTATCTACCTACCTACCTACCTATCTATCTATCTATATATCCATCCAATCTACCAATCTATCTATCTATCTATCTATCTTTCTATCTATCTATCTATCTAATCCTATCCTATCCAATCCAACCCAACCCAATCCGATCCAATCCTTTCCTTTCCTATCCTATCCTATCCTACCCTATCCTATCCTATCCATCTATCTATCTATCCATCTATCTATCTATCCATCTATTTGTCTGTCTATCTATCTATCTATCTTTCTATCTATCTATCTTTTTATCTTTTTACCTTTTTATCTTTTTATCTTTTTATCTTTTTATCTTTTTATCTATCTATCTATCTTTCTATCTTTTTATCTTTTTATCTTTTTATCTTTTTATCTTTTTATCTATCTATCTATCTATCTATCTATCTATTGATTTATCTATCTATCTATCTATCTATCTATC